ACAAATGTTCTGGAACACAAACATTGTGAGGGTGATGCGAAGCAGGTAGGGGTCGTGTCAAAATCACACAAATTAAAACATTTGGACAACTTTAAAAAGAACCTTGTAAGGCAGTCTATCACCAAACTCTATTCTGAAAACAAATACATGTCGCTGTAAATTTTAAAAAGCATTTGAAGCAAGAACACAACCTCAGAGTATCCCTGATATTGTACGAAACTCGTGACCCTCCTGTGGTTTCTAAACTCGCTTTCGCTCGGTCAGATACCATAGGAAGGACACTTGTTTCGTATAATTCGTATGTAATGAGACCTCGTGTAGTATTCTCTATAAACCTATCACAACATAGGCATGTAGTATGTTAAAATGTACCTTGTAATGTGTGTTTTACAACTACCATTATATATCATGAATCTCAATAATATATGCATGCATAATAATCACTATGATCATAAGTGCTTCTGCCAAAACCGAAGGTTTTTTTGCAGAGGGTATGCATTCAACCCTGTTTGTGTGTGTGTGTATTTATGTGTTAGCATATTTACTCAAATACTACTAGAGGGATTTCAATTAAACTTTCTGGATCTCTTGGGTATGTCTCCAGGACAAATCAATTACAGGTTGAAAAGTACACTCTTCGAAAAAAGAAACGCAAAAGCAAAATATCATTGAAAAACTTGGTCTTATTCAATTATGTACATCAACTAAAATAAACGGTACAGCATTGAAATTATGTAGAGCAATACATTGGTATCTCGTTAACATTTCGCAAGAATGATAGTCATCATAGTCATTACTGCTGTCCGCGAGGTGACGTTGACGTTACTGCCTTGTATGGCCACCTCTTACTGCTACAAATTGCACGACACCTCCTTGACACAGACTGAATCGGTTGTTGGATGTTTCGTTGTGGAATCTTTCTCCATTCCACCTGCAGCATGTTGAACAACAGTTACTGTTACTGTTACTGTACGTTGACGTACACGTTTATCTATCTGATCCCACAGGTAATCAATTGGTTTCAGATCCGGGGATCTGGAGGGCAAGGGGAGGACATTGATGTTGTTATTGTCCAGGTAGCCCCACTGTAGCACGTGCTGTGTGAGGTCTGGCGTTGTCCTGTTGGTACAGATCCCTTTGGCGGTCGACAAGACGATGCACGTGAGGACAGAGAATCTGGTCGGTACATCTCGCGGCCGTAACATTGACTTGGACGAGCACCAATTCCGATCTGCAGGTGTATGAGATGGTTCCCCACATCATCACACCATCGCCGCCAAAATCTGTCCACTTGCCTGATGCATTTGGATGCAAAACGTTCATTGCGTGGTATGTAGACACGTTGTCTTCCGTCACGTCGCTTGAGGTGCTACCGCGATTCATCACTGAATCATATGTGCCTCCAGTTTCCAAGGTTCCGTGGTTGCACCGCGTTACACCACCACCTGACTCACGGACGCTCATGTAATCGTGCAGAGAGGGGACAACTTCTGGACGTATGGCACGCATACCTACCTCTCGGAGACGGTTCCTGATTGTCTGGTCGGACATTCTCCGGGCTCCAAACCGTTCTTGTGCTGTGTCCCGGGCGGAACGATGGCAGTCACGTAGGTGGGTTACCCGGATGTAGCGATCTTGGGCTGTGTGGTGACTCACGGTCGTCCTGGTCTTGGATGGTCATTTGTCGAAATGGAATGCACAAAACGATCCCACAAACGAGTTATTGTGCTGGGATGAATGCTGAAGGTCCTCGCCACGACACTCTTGGATTCGCCAGCTTGTAATCGTCCAATGGCAATATTTCTGTGGGCACCGTTGAGACGTCCCATTTGCTCATCCAGTATTTGCAAGGGTCTTGGATGAATTTGCGAGATGCATTTGGGTATTTTATAGTCATAGGTTGCACGCGAAAAGCAATGATTGCGGCTTTTGGTTGTGTTCAATACCAGTAAAGCTCATCATGACAATCATGATCGATAAAACCATTCAAAATCGTTTATGGTTGCATTTGCTTACGCATATTCTTCACAATACCGACAGCAATATTCAACCCTCAAAACATGCTTAATTAGACATTTGCGTACAAACTTTCATTTTTTCACATTCTATTTTGCGTATATTTCTTTTTTTTCCTCTTTTTTTGATGAGTGTTTGTTAAGGTACATGCACCCAGAGGTAAATAGTCGCAATGTTACATAAATGGAGAATATGAATAATATCTCAAAAAGTTATTGATGGAATTGAATGAATCTAAGTGGTTTTGTTAGGTATGACGCAAGGGCTATCTGCGTACGGTTTGGTGAAAGTACATTAAAGTACAAGTACACAGTAGTACTTTAAAAATGTAATAGTGAAAGGAAATTGCTGTGCAAGGCGGAGGCATGTTCTCTAACGAGGTCCCTTCTAGTTTCCAAATTAAGAAAACAAAATTCATGCTTGTGTTTGTATGACAAATAATGTCGAAGCTTGCATTTCAACAGCATATTTTGTTCTTGCAGGTTAATGACGGATTGATTAATTATGCAAGTTACTTAACAATGTGAAAGTTAATATAAATATACTAAAGTGCTGTCGGAAATGCTAGAAAATGCTTTTTAGCCTGAATGTCTTTAGAAAGGTGATAAATGTATTATGTTGTCAATATATCAACTCACCTATAGTGTACCTAATTTTTATTTCAATTGATTTAACATTCCCATGCATTTAAAGGGCAGTTTACAGGAGAGAATTTGGTACCAAAACAACAACTTAAGATTTTTTCAGAGTTCAACAACAGAAATCTGAAATAGTCTTTACATTTATGCTAATAATACAGGTGGTGTAAAAATATAAATTAACGTGTTTCTTAAACAAATAAATGTTGAATGTTTGTGTTATTTTACTTAATTATCGTTTCTTTATTGAAGAAATATTAATATAAATGTTAAGTCTTGATAAATAAGCTTCCCGTCATGCATGCACATCTTTATCACAGCGTCCACTATGGCCAACTATTTGCAGACGATTGTTGCAAAGGTTTATAAGTTTTTTGTGCTTGAAAAATACAGGTAAACCTTTTATTAGTTTAGAAAGGGTTTATTACAGAACTTGTAGAGCTGTTGGTATGTCTTACCAACAAGTTTACAATATTGTAAACAAATCAGACAAGACTGGGACCGTCTCAAAAGCAAAACCGGGACGTAAAACCATCCTTGACAACTTTGACAAGGGAGTACTTAGACGGGCGGTCTACAAACTTTAGGAGAATAATAATATATATATTCTAAAGAAGCTACACCAGTGACTTCGTTAATTCTTTGGCCAATGTTCACAACTAGATTAAACTGACCGAATTACATCCATATTTTTTGCAATGAAATATACTGTTGACATGCAAAACATTTATTAAAACGTTGCACATTTCTACAATCAATCGATAAGATAACACAAGTGATAGAATTCTTTCAAATAAAACAGTAATTCGTATGTTTATTTCACAACAAACACACATACACAAATGATCCCTTACATACCAATACGTATACTATACGTACACATATTCAACATTTTGAAGAAAACATCTATTGAGATGACCCCCTCGCCCGAGCGTGTGCTCAGGTGTCAGTTTTACCTGTCGATACCGTGCATGCTGATGACATAACACAGGCAGTTAATGTTTGTATCAAATAACGTCCCACGACCCCTTATTTTTCGTCCCACTACCGCTAAGTTTTTGGTATTTTCATCAGTAAAAAACGCATTTTAGGGCATGTCTCAAAATTTATTCCCTCGGTCTACATTAGGTAGATGTTTCTTAAAGTGATATTTGTTATTCAAGTAACTGTAATACCTCTGAATTTTAAATATAAGTCAAAAATCATTTTTCTAGCATTTCCGACAGTACTTTAGTGCACACTATATATTGCACTTGCATACCCCACTTGTAATATGTAGTTATCTGTTTACTGTGATATAATTTGTCACTATTGACTGCATATTTGGCTTTATGTCATTTGTCATTTAATTACCCAGACACGAGTGTCAGTGTGTCAATTCTGACTGTACTGGTAGGTCTGATTTGACACTTGTGCATGACTTTATGATAGTCACATTAACCTTACCTGGGTACTATTATTACTACGTACATAGGTGTGTCATGGTAGTATATATTATGAAATGGGAGGATACATTAATTGAAAAAAAATGGTTTCCATTAATATAGTCCAATACTTACAATGTTGGTGTCCTTTGAAGGAAAGACAATATTTGATTAATTTATATGATTATGTCACATTTTATGTCACCAAATTGAACTTAAAAGCATATTATGTGGTTATCTCTATGCCATACATCATAAGCTGGCTTTTGATATGCTAAATGACTATGTTGTGATAGGTTTATGAAAACATGTTTTTCTCGAAATGGTGTCGCAAGCAATTTTGGGAACTCATATTCAATCACCCCACAATGACACTTATAGCAAACAGAAAAAAATGGAACCATGTTTTCCCTGAATCCATTATAATTAGTATTGGTTCCAAATGTTAACATGTAATTCCCACGGAATTACACACGCCCCTGCACTGCTCGCTGACTTAGTCGATGTATGTCATCGTATCCCCATTGGTAAATCGATGCTCATGATGTCAAACACTTTATTGTCTATTCCAGAGTCGATTATTTGCAGACCGCCGTCAAATATCTAGAATATTGCTTAGTCCGGCGTTAACCAACAAACAAACAAACTACGACAAACGGATATTGATAGCATTAAGAAAACTTCGGAGACATGAGTTGTTGAATATATTCATATAATCAATGGATGTAAATGAATGAATGAATGAATGAATGAATGTAAACTGAATACATATTTGAAAACATCATTATGACGTGATTGTGAATAGTTTCAGGCATCACAACACAAAATGCCAATAGGTGAACATTAAAGCTGAAATAAATCCTTCCACGGGTAAACCACACAAACTATTTGATCGAATGCAAGAAAAGGTGTTTCTACTTACCAATATACAGCACTGATTGTTAACATGAGAAACGATGTATATACAGCCCACTCCATCTCTTCTCTACTCTCATAAACAGCAACAACTTACAACTGTCACATAGACTAACCGCAGTCGACCACAGCACTAGTTTGGCCCATCATACGGTTCTGAATGGCAATCGACTAGTGATCAATAGTCGTCATTGAAGGTTAATCCGTCGTATCGATTTATCATGTATTTTTTAACCGCGTTTCGTCTTGCTTCAAGTTTTTGTAAATAGGACGAGGTTGATTTGAATTACTAAAAAAAATACAGTTTTGTAAGGTGGAACAAAACTCAATTATGAGAGCTTCGAGGTTTCCGCGTCTTTCGCAGATTGAGACAGTCAGGTTGTAGACAGCTGAGGTAGAGATCACGTTGAATGCTTTTCAGTCTTAAAACTGCGTGTCAGCGTACGGAAAAAGTCTTAAGTGACATATGTTTGAGACTTTTATTATCGCGCTTGAACTATTTACATGAGCAGGGTACTGACAGAAAGCGGATTATAACCTGTACTCGAACCCGCAGTAAGCGAATCCTGATGATAAGGGACAAACTTGCACCTTTGAAACCGCTTTCGAAACACAATCACACTTAAAGTAACAATACTACGTGGTTGTACGTTTGATTCAATCATTTATTCCAACTTTTATTTAATAATTAAGCATGCCTGTATTCACTGCATTATCTTGTAAAGACTAAAGCGAAAAAAAGCTTGTTCGCTTAAAGGAAGACTGTCTCCTACAGATCAAGTAGGTTGTCCAGTTGCACACCGCGTGAGTACTTAATTAGGCCTGACACCCCTCATGGGGCATAGGCCGTCCGCTACATATCTCCAGATCCCCCTGTCCTGGGCTTTCCTCTCCAGCTTTTTCCAAGTAAATCCACTTTTCTGTATATCGCCATCGAGGTCACGTCGCCAAGTGTTTTGGGGCCTGCCTCTCCCTCTTTTCCCCTGAGGATTCCATGTTAGAGCCTGTCTGGTGATGTTGGTTACGGGTTTCCTTAGGGTGTGACCAATCCAACCATCTCCTTCTGATTTCCTCCTCTGCTGGTATCTGGCGTGTTCTCTGCCAAAGGTCGGTGTTGCTGATGGTATCAGGCCAACGGATCTGGAGGATTCTTCTGAAGCAGCTGTTGATGAATGTCTGCAATCTGCTGATGGCCAGTTTTGTGGACCTCCGTATCTCTCTGCTCCGTATAGTAGGACTGACGTGACATTGGAATTCAACAGCCTGATCTTTGTACTTGTTGAGACGGTCTCGGTTCTCCAGATGTTTTTAAGCTGTATATGTGCTGCCCTTTCTTTTTCAGTTCTTGTCCTTGCATCGGCATCTGTTCCGCCTTGCTTGTCCACAATACTGCCCAGATAGGTGAAGGTGTCTATTTCCTCTAAAGCGATGTTATCTAGTGTGATGTAGAGGGTAATGTCCGAGTAACTCTCCATTCCTTAAAAATAATGGAGCCTAGGCCCCGGAGGGGCCGAGGCACATTATTTTTAAGGAAGGAGAGTTACGAGGATATTACCTTACTTAAATTACATTCAAAGTATTGGGAATATTTCTGTTATCAACATTAAATGTCAAAATGACAAAATGAAGGCTTTAATTTTAAACTAGTACACATAGCTCCATTCCTGAAAAGTAATGGAGCTAGTAGACAATGGAATGGCGTCACAAATGTAATTTAATGCGTCAGTTTTGCTTGCATGAGCCTTTAGGATCTTGGTCTTTCCCTACTGGATATTTGGAGGATTTGGCGTGGGGCCAGCACCCCCACCCTGTAACATAACAGCTACAGAAACGTCAACTACAACAACCGCGTGAGTAGGTTGATATTTAAAGAAGTAACTTTATGTGTTCAAGTAAAACACCGGTTTAGTTGTCTGTAAATTCATGTTTTATCTTGCATTTCATTCTGACAGTTAACGACTAGCCTTAAAAATTTAGACATTTTTTACGTTTCACAAAAGTTACATTATCTATTCAAACGTGAAAGCTATAGAATAATCAATCTTGGATCAATCTGCCTAAAGAGCTCATAGGGCATAAAAGTCTATACTTTGATGAACATTGGACTCGTAAAGATTCGGGTTAAAATTGAATTGATCATCTGCAAACAATGCTTGTCGCGAGAAGCAACTAACGGGATCGGATGGTCACACTCACTAATTTGGTTGATACCATCGTATCCCAAATTCGTAGATCGATGTTCATGACGTCAATCACTGAATTATCTGACTAGAGAATGCAGTCACACAGTTGAACATAGTGCGGCGTTAATCTACACATCAAACAAAAGTGACGACAACTGTACGAACTTATCACTGAAATTCATTCATGACACCGAGCGTCCGTGAAAAGTGTAGACGTAGAGAGTGACTACAGTGACAGTCACCACAAAATGTGGTGTGACGTTAAAGAGGCATGCAAGCTCTGTGTTAACGTCGTAACACTGGATGGGGCGATAGGGTAGCCTAGTGGTTAAAGCGTTCGCTCGTCACGCCTGGTCCGATTCCCCACATGGGTACAATGTGTGAAGCCTATTTCTGGTGTCCCTCGCCGTGATATTGCTTGAATATTGCTAAAAGCGGCGTAAAACTAAACTCTGTATGCAATCTCTGTGTTAACGTCGTAATACTGGATGGGGAGGCGGGGTAGCCTAGTAGTTAAAGTGTTCGCTCGTCACGCCGAAGACCTGGGTTCGATTCCCCACATGGGTACAATGTGCGAAGGCCATTTCTGGTGTCTCCCGCCGTGATGTTGCTGGAATTTTGCTGAAAGCGGCTTCAAACTTAACTCACTCTCCAAATGGTTTCTTCATTCTGCGAGAAACGTCTGATTACAAGAGCCCGCCAAGCTGAGGAAGTTCGGAACCAACCATTATAAGTAAATTCTTTCATATAGTGGTCTACTTGATATCTCATATCAATGTGTGAAGCCCATTTCTGGTGTCCCTCGCCGTGATATTGCTGGAATATTGCCAAAAGCGGCGTAAACCTAAACTCACTCACTCACTCGTGATTCTGATGGCATGGGGTACATAAATGCTGACAGTGTGTATCTTCCAAGGAGGTTTGTCCATTAATTCCCAGATAGATTTACATCACATTATCTGAATTGAAACTATTCAAATAAAACTGACAAATTTTGACATACGCAACCCTTATACAATGACGATTGCAACATGAAATGGGTTTTCGAAATGATCAAAGTCACCTGATATCTCTGGATCTCGGACAGATAACACAGTGACCTCTGAATGGCGGGGATAGCTATCAGATTATACCATAAATAATATTTGACCTTGCCCGGATAAGACGCAGGTTCAGTTGCTTCCATTATGGTCGATCTGAAGGCTGTACTTGGAGTTTTTCTATTCGTCACTGGTATGTACGCCATCGAGAGTTTTCTATCATACACCGCCAAGTATTGAGTGAAGTATGTCGCTTGGAGGTGTACAAACTAAAGAGTGATAGGCTAATGTAGGCGGAGAGTGCAAACTGATGAATATTATTTTCGTTAACAACTCACGTAAACTCCACGAGCATAAGTAAATATTGGAACCAAAGATAATATTCAGGACCAATTATGGATTCAAACACACGTTTGATGCTCCAGTGGTTCATAAGGCTCTTAAAGAAACTGTGCTTAACAAAACCAAAAATACTTTTACAATGAACGCAATACTTGGCGATAATTTAATGTATGGTTGTATACAAAGAGCTGTATTAGTCTTCCTCGTTAAAACAAGTAAGTACGACATAATTTAACTGAACAAAATATGACAGTTTGTTAAGTGTTGGGCGCATATAGGCCTTTTAAGGCCCAAGGTCGCCCTAACCTACCTACCTCCAGTGTTTCATATATTTTGACCAACGATTTAAGACCTCAGGGTCTGGTAACATGCGTTCAGCCAACTCAGCGAGCCGAACCATTCTTTTAGTTAACAAATGTTAAATTTGATTGATTGTTGTTTAACGCCACACTCAGCAATATTCCACCTATATGGCGGCGGTCTGTAAATAATCAAGTCTGGACCAGACAATCCAGTGATCCAGCAACTGGGATACGATGACATGTGTCAACCAAGCCAGCGAGCCTGACCACCCAATCCCGTCAGTTGCCTCTTACGACAAGCCTGGGTTGCTATAGACCAATTCTAATCCGGATCTTCATAGGGGAGACAAGTATGGTTTGCTGAAGATCATTTCTAGCCCGGATCTTCATAGGGGAGACGAGCATGGGGCAGTGTAAATCCTCTGTAATCTTAGCAGAACAGATGTGATTAAGATATCCAGATCAGCTCCAAACCGAAACATGACTTTCATTAACCCATTCAGACAATGACCTACTTTTCAGCCGATCCGAAATTTCTCATGTGAAAGTGGAAATAGACATCACAAACAACGATGGTTACACTGAATTCCAATTCCTTGTTTCATAAGAAAATGGTATTTACAAATGAATTCTAATTTTAAACTTTAATAACATCGTATGTCTGTAATTTATGGCGAGGTGTAGGCAGCATGACCTTAACTAAGGCGTCACAGACTGCCCCAATTTGATGAGGTCGTAAAATGATTCACAATGCATCTGGCTCACTGGTTACACCTGTTATGTGTTTTTTGCGCTTATTTAGTATAGTTCTGTAACGCACAATGTGATTGATATGATATCAAGTCCACACCAGACCGTCAAACTTTTCTAACGGCAGAGCCTCGTTTAGAGATTTCCACGATCTCCAGGTTTCTGTTTGTCAGAGCTCGCTGTACGACAGAGCACGCTGCACGACTGTTTGCAAGGATTAGAAGGAGCGTAGTGTTGCAATATACAAGTGCTTAGATGTATCAAATCATACTGATTAATATTTATGTATCCAGTTAAATGAATTGGTCTCAAAATTGTGGACTGGTTATTGTACTAAGTTGCACAATAGGACGGAACCCAGTCAGCAGGAAACGAGACTGTTGTGTAATGTTTTGACTTGTATAGATGTAACCACTCTGATAGGGTGGCACTCAACCCTAACGCCACGAACCACTGGATCGTTTGACATAGATAATTATCAGTTGGTACATCAGCATTCGACTGTAATTAATGCATAGTC